GGACCTTGCCAAAGGTAAGCACGCACACAAGCTAGCAACTGGACGGACTTGTTTCCAGAGAACACAGCCTGGAGGAGGGCAGACTCCCTGTCCCCAAGGTGGGCAGGACAGACCACATCCAGCGTCCGCAGGGCCTTGCCTGGGCAGGGCTGGCAATGCCTCCCAGAAACCACTGTGGGTTCCCTGTCATTTGAAATAACGCATAAATGCAACCACACAGCCTGCCACCTTCTAGAGCTGGGCTTCTGGCATCCAGCATTTCTACACCCAGGTCCCCTGCTCCCTCATCAGAGATCGGGACTTGAACTCATTATCTGCTGCTTTACACTCACTGGTATCTCCATTCGTACCACCTGAACCACGCCTCTAAGCCCACATACAGGCTTTTGTACATGCTAATTTGTTCCTCTTTTGCCACATAGATAAATGAATGAACTGTGGTATGTCTAGCAATATGTTATTACACAAAAGAAATAGGTTATCAAACGATGAGACGACACAGAGGCAAGTTAGATGTGAAAGGGACCAGCGGTGCTGGTACTGTGTGATTCTCACGACACCACGTTCCGGACAAGGGGAAGCTGAGGAGACAGTGAAAAGATCAGTGGATCAGAGAAAGGATGTATATGAGGAGCACTGAGGACGGGGATGGGGGGGGGGGAGCAGGGGAGACATTCTGTGTGGCACTGTAATGGCAGATGTCGTTTGCTTGTGAAAATCCACAGTAAGCCTGATGTAAACTGGGTTTGGGGTGATGATGTAACAATGTAGGTTCACTGCTTTTAACAAACATACTATTTTTGTGGGTGGTGTTGAGGGTATGGAGGTGTGGTGTGTGTGTGCGCGCGCGTGAGTGCATGCATGTACACGTGTGTGCTTGCACGTGCATGCACCCTGGACTTAAAACTGCTTTGAAAAATATAGTTGTTCTAGGTACATAGCTATCATCCGAGGCAGGAGGATGGTAAGCGGAGGACCTCCAGGGCTATGCCAGCGTGGGTCACACAGCAACAGCCTGTCTCAAAACACACAACGAAACGAGCTGAGTGGAAACACGGGGCTGGAGGTGCAGCGCAGGGGTGGGGTGCTGCCAGTATCCACAGGCCTTAGCTTCATTCTCCAGTGGGGGAAAACATGTTTTTAAAAAGCTAGTGACATCTTTTACCCACTCACAAACTGGCTCAGCGGAAAACGCTGAGAGCACCACACGTGGGCAAGGCCATAGAGCGTGCGTGGCTTGCGGGACGCGCTCAAGCTGGCTTGGGCTGCTTCCTGGAATACACTAGGGAGGCCAGGTCTGCACCATAGACCACCGTAGACCACAGTTCCAGACCATGAGCCAATGGCAGCGCAAACGTGCTCTCCAGGAGACCTGGGAGAGGAGGTCAAGAATGCCCCATGTAGGAACAGTCTAACTGGCAATCAGACTTACCAAGGATTCTAGGAGGTTTTGGTTGCGCATACACTAGATTCCATCACAGGAGAAGCAAGCAGACTGTGGCTTCTCACACTGCAGGGAGGGGCTCCCGAGGGTTCCATCCTGAACTTAAAGAAGCCACGTGGCAGCCAAAGGAATCTGGAACCTTCTCTTTATGTAATTCCAAAACAGTGACACTGACAGAACAGCAACAGAGGTGAGGATGACGGTGACCTTTGGAGCAAGTGACCAAGAGGCCCCTGACCTTCAAAGTACGCTGTATTTTGATGGTACAAGTGTCTGCCTAGATGCGTGAATGAGAACACGCAAGATTTATAAACTGAGTTATACTTTGATTAAACAAAAATTAAAAAGTCAAGCTGGTGGTGCACACCTATAATCCCATCACTAAGACAAGAGGATCGTGAGTTCAAAGCCAGCCTAGGCTACCCAGTGAGTCCTGAGCTAGCCTGAGCTACACAGTGAGACCCTCTCTTAAAAGAAATGTTCAAGAATATTGAGATTGAGTACAATTACATTTATCCTCATTAGAGTCTCTGGCTCACAGACAAAGAAAGAAAATCAAGATTGTAATGTTCATGTACCTTTTAATAACAGGGAGGAAAGTAACAAGCCAATGTCTGCAGTTTTCTGTTGGACAGGAAAGGTCTAAGTGCAAGGTTGAAGCCACAGCTTTGTGCGGTGGCAGTATCATAGCCAGGGAGGTTTATCTGAGATGCAATTATTGCTAAAGGGATCCTTCACATCTGCTATGAAAAAATAAGAGCAAAACAGAAAGTTATTGAAGTACTGAAATATAAAATAAGGTTGGCCACTGGTGGCTCATGCCTATAATCCTAGTTATTTAGAAGCTCTGAGACCTGGAGGATTACAGTTCAAAGCCAGCCTAGGCATAAAATTTTGTAATACTTTTGTCTCCAATGAACCAGCAAAATGCCAGACTGGAAGCATGGCTCAAGTAGTAGAGTGCCAGTGGTAATCAAGCCAAGCAAGAATGGCCAACTCCGTAAGTTCAAGACTCCATACTGATACAAGCAAGAATGGCTAAGTCTGTAAATTCAAGCCTCCGTACTGATACACATAGATAAAAGTAATGCAAAATGAGGAACAATGTTCGTGGCAGGGAAGATTCTTTCCAGGGCAGTGTGGATCGTCATTAGTGAACAGAAATGTTGAAGTTTCCATAAGAAGAATATGGGAACTAGACAGGACCAGAATCCAGTATTAACAGGGATAGCTTTGGAAATCTTTAACAGAAAGATTCTTTAAAGTACTTCCTTTCTCTCTCCTGGGAGTCCCATCTGTTTTAAATATCAATGAATATGTCGGCACAGTTGTTCATTTCTAGAAGTTAGTAAACATGGCAAAATGAGTTCCAAAGCAGATGGCAGACAGTTAGCAAATGTTTGGTCTTTTTCTTCCCTAACAACAATACACCATCACAAGAACATGAACAATTTCCAAACTGTTGCAACACAATGTTTCACCCATTTCACAGTATGGGAACCCAGATTTTAACCATTATCCATTTCTTGGCAGGACAATCAAATAATTTTACCTTCATAAAGAAGTGCTGAATGGTTTGAAGGAAAATTCCTTTTCTAAGTTAAAGTGTGGTGACAATAATTTTTTTGAGAAGTGAAAGGAAATAGAAATATTAATTGACCTTCCATCATATTTTACTAAGGGAGGCCAGAAAATGATCACTTCAGTCTTACAGGCCGAAGCTGCCAAAGAAAAAAGATGGCGGCACATAGGAATGGTCCTTGCCTAAGTCGGTGGTGACTTCATGAGACTTTGTTATTATCTGTCATCATTGATACTTGATTACAGATTTCCCCCACCCCTAAGAAACACAATTTTTAATCTTCTAATTGGAAAAGGCAAGTATGGGTATATTTCATATTCCCTGATGACGCTCACAGCTTTGGGGGATGGAAGATACTTCAGTGTGGAGCCACGCTTAGTGTTCTTAATTGTTTAAAATCTTACACCTTTTCCTTCCACAGAACTCTTCAGATCATTTCTAGATTAACTCCTTCCTGTAGACCAGGTGCTGTGGCCACAACCTGTAATCCTAGGTACTTTGGAGGCAGGAGATGGGGGGACCATGGTTCAAGGTCAACGAAGGCATAAAAGTTTTCTCACTGCCATTTTCCTGTGACATGGAAGGCACAATTAGGAGCCTCCTAGTCCAAGGTGCAAATTGAGACTCTGCTTCCAAAGTAGCTAAGACACGAACACGGTTCAAATGGCTTTGTACCAGCTCATCTCAGTCATCTGCAGAGGCTGAGAGGTTCATTGCTGAGGGTTCCCTTGATTCAGGATTCAAGGAAGCCATGGAAAACAAATTCCTCTGAAGGTGCCGGAAACAGGGGCATTCAAGGAACTGGACAGAAATTCTAGAAGACCAGAGCTAAGGGACCAAAATCACCCCAGTAGTTGCTTCTGCAGTTCTCACGGAAGAAAGCATTAACTTCTGATTCCTTCAAGATAACTGAGACTTAAGCAAATTTATGAACTTTTTTTTTTTTGGGGGGGTCCGGTCATGGGGCCTGAACTCTGGGCCTGGGCGCTGTCCCTCAGCTCTTCAGCTCAAGG